TGAGTAATTATATTCAAAGTTTTGATCAGGAAGATTTTTGCGAGAAAGCTAGAGTACATCATTCAAGTCAATTTTGGCGCTGAAAATGTGGATAAATCTTCTGTTATTGCAATCAAGAGGATTCCTCCCCCACTTTTTACCAAAAAATATATGCAGCTATAGAAAAAAATTTACGTAGTTGAATGCTCACGGGGCCACTGCGTTTCTTTTTTGGTCGTCAACTTACAAACGTACGGAAAAGGCTCTTTGAACTTTTTGCGAGTTGTTCAGAGCAGCTTCACCCTTGCAATGTTTATATAGAAAATAATGCAGCACTTGTCATCAGAACTGCTTGCTGTAAAAATAAGTCTTGATTTTCTTCTAATGTTGAAGGTCGCGCTCAGGCAAGCAACTCCAACGAGATTTCCAAGACGAAATGGTAATACAATTTTTGTCTATTGCTTAACACTGATTCTCATGAAGAATATTTTAGCAGTACTATAGCGTGTCAAATATTCCACAATTTGTCGATATTGAACAATTAGAAAAGATTTTGAAAAAATATTTCAATCATCAAGTCGAAATCGAAGCTGGTACGAATATATTAGATGATCCAAGCGGAGTTGCGTATTTGAGGTTTGAAGTTGATGTCTCAACAAATGAATTATTAAATGGTGACAGTTTCCTATATTTGTCGTAAGTCCAAAATTTCTTTCAGACTCACAGAAATTCCGTATCTATTACATATTTTAGAAAAGACATTGAAAACGGTCCGTCCACTCAAATTTGAAAAAATATTAGCTCAAGGCGATAAAGAATTAACAAAATTTACGTAAGGCAACAATCTATGAATATATAAGAGATTTAATTATTCATTCATTGCTTCTGTCTATTTAGAGAAAAATTTGTTGATTAAACAATGGCCGATACCTTGGAGTACAAAATTGGAAAAATTTATCTTGAAGAAAATGAAGTCACATTGAATCAAATTGATATTGAAAGTAAATAAAATCAATCAAAAAAATAACGAATAACATATGCGACTCTCGTTCTCTTTTATAGAACAAATTCAATCGTTAAAAGAACAAAAACATGAAGCCGATGAAAGAAAACGTGACGCAGAAACAGCAACAAGTCGGAGCAATGATCTCCAGCGTCAAATTATTGAATTAACAAACAAGAAGCAACGTACATTCTGAAAACATTTTTATTATAAATATTAAACGTGTTTATTCTGACTATTGGTTTATTTGTATTGTCAATTTATTCTTTTGGAATAAAATATGAGAAAAAGCATAGTGTGCGAACCTTGTTTTATGATAGAAGATCGGAGGAGTTTTTTTTTGGCGCATCGACTGTTGTTTTTGAAAGTGCTTATTGAGGGTTCAATGGCTTTTGAATATCAGTACAGTAGATCATCCTCCTCGGAAAAGGAGGGAAGTATTTTGTGCTTTGTTTATCATCAGAAAAACTATTCAGATCTGTGGATTTTAAAAGAGATGTAAGGAAGTGTACGTGTATTGAATATGAAATGGGATTTGTGTAAAATAGTCGTTTGCATTGGATTGTATGAAATCAAGTGTGAAAACAAAACTACAAAAGTGTTATTTTTAAGATTCTATGATAAACAGCAAAATATCGGTTTAGTATTTTCATTTTCTATTATAATACGGGGTATTGTTTCAAAGATGATTGTCCATTCTTGTTTTAACTGTTATTTTATCAAATACAGGAAATCTAGCAGTTTTCTTTTTTTAAAATTCTCCCGACCCCGAAAATTCCCCCGTAGTCCTATTTCAACTACGATAAAGACGGATATAAGTTAATACATATGAGGAACATATAAAGTTTCGAGGCTTTTCACAATTCCGTACTTGTGAGGCAATGAAGAAGCGCTTTTTCTATGGGGATTTGGCTTTTCATTTAGATTTTAACTTCCAATCAGGTGATTTGCCTACTTACACCAGATATCGTAGCACTCTTTCGCAGGCTGACAACCGAGTAAAAGCGAAGATTCGTCTTATGAGTATCGATTTATATGATAATAGTATGTCATGATAGATGGAAGAGTTTCATTCCAGATCGAGATCTCTATTCTAGCAAACTTTCCGTAGAAAAAGCTGAGGAGCGAGATGTTATTTTGCGTATATTCGG